AAGTAGTTCTTCGAGCTGTACGACTTAATAAATTCGAAAAGGAGATGGAAAAAATATTGAAATATTTGTATCAAGAAATAACAGAAATACTCTCATAGGTTTTTAAAACGCGAAAGGGATACGATATTTTTAAGGTGTGAATGAATAACTTTGTTAAATTTTACGGATTCATCGTCTATTTCCATGTGGCTCAATGAATTGAGCTCGTGTAGCAAACAAAAATATATTAAAAAAATTTCAATTAGAATAGGCGCTTGTTCCGTATATTACACTGAAAGTTATGTTTAAATTCAAAATTTATCACATTTTCAGCCCGAATGTAATTGATATTTTTAAACCTGGATGACTGCTGCATCTAGTCGTGCGATATTAACTAAATTTTGGTTATCAAGCATTTATAGGTGAATTTTTTCCCCTTTTTAAATTCTAGCTCGCGCTAAGAATTACCATCATACCATAAAAGTTAATACCACTTATCAATTTCAAATGCCTAAGTTTGGAAAGGCATAATATTTCAGGCATTGTTCATATGATAGACGAGTGTTAATTATAATTTTTTTATGATTGTTGAAATTGAGCAGCAAGACTATGAAGTGTTGACATCGAAGAAAATTAATGATCGCGTAAATGTTATTTCGGAATCGAATAAATTTTACATGATCATGTTGTTAATCGAAATTAAATACACGGGAAAATTTTGATATAAAAGCAATAAGTCAAATTTCAACCAAGAATTTGATTTTAACATTTTGTTGGCACTATAAACATGAATCGCGTGCAGAGAATAATTAAATAAAAAAGAACAAATTAATACTAATGCAATTAAAGGCCCATGACCCTCTACATCAGAATATTATAAGTGCTAATCTCGTCGTAAAATAATTACCCGGACACTTACTGAATGCGATTGGGAATCTTAGATTGAGGCTCGCACCATAACCCTTGATCGGAAGGGAAAGATCATATCGAGACCGCCATGGATGTTGGGTTCCACCAAGGGCTGCCTGCTCTATCATAAATCTGCAACCGAGTGATTGCTTTCGGACATTTTGGTCAGATCTTCATCATTATTTTATTGCAGGCCGAGCACGATGATTGTCATCCACCTTTGATATCGACAAAATCGCGACAGAAAAGGAAAGGCTTGCACAGTTACTAAAGTGAATATGGGAAAATGAGTATATTATCTGTTGTCGACAGAATTATTTAGTACAAGTTCTAATTTTATTATTGTTCGACAAAAATGTAATATATTTAAACAATTCACACGCAAAAAATAATTCCGATCGATGCTTCGTTCAATATCTTTTAAAACCAAAATGCCATCGTTGCGCAAATACGAATAATAAAAGAAAAAATAAATAGGAATGTTATTAAGAGACAATGACATGTTCTATAATTTCAACATCGCCAAAAACAAGTTCTCGAAAAAAATCATAAATTAGTTCCTATTTCGGGAAATCCACTCCTAAAATCGCTCATCGAGATGCAGGTGCGTTTCGTGTTGCCATTACCTGCCATTAGCGCAGAATACAAGAGTACGGCGGGCTCAGTTCCAGCCATGGCTTTGCTATGAAAAATTGACGCGAGTGTCGGCTGCTATCATGGCTACGGAGAACCTGAACTCGGCTGGACCGACAAAACAATCGAATAATTCTTTGCCGAGGATTTTTTGTGCAGTAAGTAACTTTTACGAGATAAAGTCACAGATAACATTGAGGTGGACGACATCTTCATTCCAAAGTTATTTTCTTTTGAAAACAATAGGTTTTTATGGCATCTGAAAGAGAAAATGGGTGAAGGATGTTGTTCGGCAAAGAGTGTAGATTCGTTACAATTATTAAATTAATTATTGAAGCGAATAAAAATTCTAGTCAATTAAATATGTCTGGTCAACAATAAATTATTACATGGGATATTATCGGTATTAAATAAAGTATGGATAGGAAACATTCTCATGCGTAACAACGAAATTCACATACACCCAAGAAATGAAAATTTCCCAGAACTGAAGAGAAATACTAATACATGCGACATTTAAAATAGAACTCATGACCATAACACCAGCACAAGAAAGTACATCACATGAAGTGAGGTTCCGTTCATGCCAGCAACAGTATTTCGAAAAACTTGCTTTTTGAGATCATTTAAAAATCTTCGGTGAAATGTGAAAAGCTGTCGAAGAAGGTTTTCTTCTGAAACGTGAGAGGTTTTGGGGGCAACTTAGAAACTGTATGCTCCAAATATTTAATTAGTTTACTTTAGCGAGCGATTAAATCAGTTGTTATTCCACTACTTTATTACACTGCGGTACCCGTACACGAAGGGCCTTCACAATTACGCGGACAATTTTAATCATTTATCTTTACTGCCTGAAATGAAAACTTTTTAGTCATAACGATGCATTTTAGTTTACACGAGCGGTATATGTTTAAAAAATGGTATCATTTAGGCGAAATAAAAGAAATGTTCTTTAGGTTAATTCGGGCTGTGCGTCTCAAGAGACATCGATGCATCGTCTCAGTGAAGCATTTTTATAATGCGAATAAAATTACTTACTTGAGGTGGTCACGAGAAGACGAAGTATGAGTAGCAGGAGAAGGAGAAGTAGGATCGAGCCAAGTAAGAGAGAGAAATGAAAGATCAGAACAAGGTTGGGAGCGGCGAAGTTAAACTCAGACTTCAACAGCCTTTGTCCTAAAGTACAAAAAATGTGTTATACATTTCCGTTTTTTTTTTCAGAAGATGTTAAAAAAAAATTCTGACGAGTAATTCTTATTTTGTAAATTTTCTCCTAGAGCAATTTTTAGATAGCTCGAATGTAGGTCCAGAACTTGATATTTTAGTTATTTAGCATCTGTGATTCGTTACCGAAACGGAGAACTTGGTTGAAAGATACTCGAAAAAGAACTTCAATCGAAAAGTTCATATCTGATCAAAAGATAAACATTAGAGTACGGAAACATCACAACATTAAAGATTGGTAGATGCTATACAAAATTCTACAAGGGGCTAGCACACTCGTGAACATCATGCACTGTATAGGCGTGCTGGTCTATGCATAAACTATTCTATGTGTATTATGAAGTCTATAGTGAAGAAATTGGCAGTCTGTTTCTTGAGCTTATCACTCTCAAAATTTATTGGGCTTACCTGTTATACCACAAATCATTTAAACTTTATCTACTGATGCAATCAAACAATTATCCTTTTACTGACATCAGTATCGTAAATATGTCATTTGTATAAACCTTGTCTGCAAAATCATTACTTTAGCCATTTTTATTGATGCGTGAGAAAAAACAACAATTTGTTTTTAATCCATTATTGTCAATTTCTCCACTGAATGAGAGTCTCATGATACAGACGACGTCATCGTCGCAACAAACTTATGTGCTGAATAAATCCTGAAATTTTCTGTATAAATTTGGACTAATTAATTTTTCCAGTTATTTCAGCTAATATATCGGAAATTGGAAAGCATTTCATATAATAAATGAGTATTAATAACAATATTTTAGTATTCTCGGAAATTGAACAGCAAGACTATGAAGCTCCGACATGTAAGAAATTACCATATAAATGTTATTTCGGAAGCAAATGAATGATAATAAATGTAATTGATTGCTGAAAATAAATCAATTGACGATTCACACAAAATAAGCACAGCCCACGTGTATCATTTCTACGGATCTTCTTTTGATCAACGGCGCCGCATTTGAACGTTAAAAGCAAGCCTACTTGGCTCCGAGATATCTTGAAACTTAGGCAAAGAATTGAAAGTCTTGACGCTCATTTATTGTAATTTTCCTCCGTTTTTAGTCTTTGCACAGGTCCGAACTTTAGAGATTTAACTTGGGCTGGATTTTTCAGTTAGATTATTATCAGACTGTGATACATGATAGAATGGAGATTGCTCGCTCACCCTTAACCATTTATTGTTTCAACTGCGTATCTTAAAATGAAATTGGTATTTACAAATGCAAAAAAAAAAATTTCACAATTTTAGAAATGTTTAAATTCTACATTTTAAAACCAATTGAGATCAAATTCAGATCTGTATGTTAGTTATGCCTGATGTAAAATTTGATATGGACATGAAATTCATCTGTTAATTTTCTAATTATCATATATTGGACATATAAGGCGATTGTGATACATATATTTTGATCGTTGACTGATGTTTTACGTTCATCTCATTTTCATTTAAGCATTAATTGACCTCACATCAACTGTTTGCATCACGAGACAATTTCGGGCTCATGGCCCTTCTGATTTTCACACAATTATGAGTATTGAAGACAATTTCAACGTAATTACGCAGCGAAAATTCAATTGTTTAATACTCTTGTATTTGAACGGATGATTATGTATCGTAAGCAGGCTTTATACAAACGAGTGTTCCCTTTTGTAAAACATCGTTTACGCTTATTGATCAGTGCATTATCCATTAATCGATCAACATTTCAGTAATGATGTTTCTGATGGAGGTACAAGAGTCAATTTTGAGCGACGCAGTAAGCTGGAATCTGATGTAATTTTTTCTTAGAATTGTGAGTACTTGTATCGGACCAACATATTCGGATGAATGATTACGTAGCTGTCTATACTATGTTGTTCGCCTAATATCGCTTAACTTTTACAAGTCCAGTCATAAGAGGTAGACGTTGAAAAACCTGCTTTGAACTCTGTAATTAATAATGAATCTTTTTGGTATCAAGGAACTTAGTAAGCATTCCGTTGATACGTGGCTTAATTTAATACAAGACTGCTACTCGCTACAATTTATCAACGTACAGCGTTTGTTCAGTTGGTCTAAAATGAATTGAATGCATTTATAAAACCTCAGATTTGAGTGAAAATTAACACCACCAACAACTTGGAAATATATTTACATAATAAAAAGTAACTATAAAATGCACAACCACAATAAGGCTGATCAAACAAGACCAAGGATTAATTAACCCATCAGGTTTTTATCCAAGCAGCGACCGTCATACCTGGAGTCCCGGTATGCCAGGTCAGGATGCAGCAAACCAGAGTCCAGCGACGAGTGTCTGCTGTCGTTGGGGAGGTGCACCTCGTCTGAGAGGTAACCATGACATCGTTACTGTGACATCTTAAATAGAGTTCATCTGAAGAGTTCTAAAGTTCATCTTATGAGTTCATCTCAAGAGTTTTGTGACATCTTAATAGGGTTCTTTACGGCAGCTCCGAATAAAATCCATAGGATCACACTAGTCAAGTGAATTTTTGTTCAAGTTCTCATCACTAGAACTTTTTCAGATTTCTGTTCTGAATTAAATACATAGGAGTGCAGATCACGCTCGGCAAGCGAATTTTTATTCATGTAAGCAGTACTCAGTTTTTGCAAATGAAATAATTGTTTACAAAAAATACTCTGAAGAGGAAGACTTCAGATGAGAGCGTTATCTCAGCGTCAACAACCTAAAGGCAGAGCAATACTTATAGTTCATGGTAAGCTCGTACTTGCTACTATTTTATCACGCAGCAAAAAATTCCTTACTATCACCTAGTCTGTATAAAATGCAATGAATTTTATTCTGATACGAATAAACGAATAAAACCTTGGCGACGATCAGCTCATGTGATTGGTGGCCAAATATTCATGAGAACTTGTATACATTTTGTGAACTTAATCGTTCCGGTTGGAAGTTACCAAGTTTACATCCAATTAGAAATTATTTCGGCGGAGGACATTTCAAAATATGGAAGAAAACCTTCAGAAGAGAAATAATTTTCGCCTTTCACCTTACGGCATATAAAACACCACCACGAAATTTGGAATGATTTAATATGCCATCCTATGTATCGTTCGAAACTGTCAACAACATCATAAAAAATTCGAAACTAAATAAAAAATATTTCTTAGAAATTTAAATTAGAACTTGGCCGGATGTGACCGTCCTTTGCAATGTTGACATTACGATTTGAATTCTGAAATTCGTTCTGGGACAAAGTATTATCTTTGTGAAATATTGGGATAACAGGAAGCCATTATTGGGACAAGTTTATGGCTAAATAAAGCTAATCAATATATACGCAATAGTAAAATCATTTAAATAAACTTGAAATATAGATTAAAGAAAATAGAAAAATAAACAATAAAGTAATTATTGGAATGAAGTTTATTGATATATACCAGGAAATCAATATTAAAAAATAAACTAATGATACAACACATTCACTGAACATCATTATTTTACCAATCAAATAAACTTATAACTAATTTCAGAGTAAAATTTTTTAAACGTATTGAATTTTCAGCAGAAGAGAAAAATTTGCGCTACCCAAAAGATTTTCAGAATTATTAACTAATTATAGTATTTATAAATCATTTTTTTAATTTCAAATCATTTGGGGAAGTAGTAAAGTAATTAAATAATACCCCGCTGCACTGACCGTTGCCGGAGCGCACTGAAGACCTGCGGATGGTGTGTGTGGGGAAGTCCTGCCCCACAATAGAGCCACGTGGCGTGGTGTTGGCGGAGCGAGACCGGCGCTCTTGTAGGCGGTACCACGTCGGCCGGTCGTCCAGGTATGCGTGGCGTAAGTCGATCAGAGCCTCGCCTGGCAGGACGTAATATTAAGTGCATGATAAATTTTAGACAAGATAAGGAAAATTTAATACAAGATGAGGTAAGTTTAATAAAAGATGAGGTAAGTTTAAAACAAGATGAGGTAAGTTTAAGACAAGATAAGGTAAGTTTAAGAGATGATAAGAAAAATTTAAGACTACATAACTTATATCTAAGATATGATAAGGTAAATTTGGAACATGATAAGGTAAATTTAAGACATGATAAGGTAAATTTAAGACATGATAAGGTAAATTTTGAACATGATAGGGTAAAGTCAAGATAAGATAAGAAAATTTAAGAAAAGCTAAATTAAATCCAAAATAAAATAGAGTCAATACATGGTATTGGAAGTCTATGAAAGGTATTAATATGAAATAATATCCCAATATTTCATTAGAAAACCTATGTAACGAAGTTCGAAATGGTAAAAATACAAGGTAAAACGTCCATAATTGGATGCGAAAAAATTGAGTCTTTTACCGCTGAATGATATTCATGATTTTTATTCAATTGCTCGAATTGATAGAAAGGTAAACTTTGGATAGATAAAAGTAAGAATATGATTTATGAGAGAAAAATCTGACATATTTAATTGACCAAACACTTCACTTTCGTAAATATCAATGAGTGAATTATATCAGACCTGCTTGTTAATGTATATAATAATTCACACAATAATTAAATAAATGATGAGTTTACCGCTGCTTCTTTCACTATGAACTCAGCATTCAATTACTGACCATGTAGGTCATTCTGTTCAACTACAAACTACGATGCATTAAGACAGCCACTCATAATTAACTGGTTTCTCACATGAAATTAAATTTTCCTGTGTTTAACTGTGTTTTCATGTTAATTTAACTGGTTTCTCATTAAATCGAATAGATTATTTAAAGGACTTTATTTCACAAGAACAAGCTTGATCACTTAAACTTGCACTACTCTCGAGCCAATCCCGCTAATTTAAGCTTGTGCATATGCAACACCCTTCACTTATTCCTGTCCCTGCGGACGCAGTAACTGCACTGCTGTTTTAATAACATTATTATTAATAACATTAATATTATATTAAACGCGATGCTCTCGTGTTGAGTCCCACGTCGATATCATCCTCTAGATACACGGCAGGATTCGCCAGTCAGATCTCATTGTTGATCCATTTAGATGCAAATGAACTGCGCCAGATCGTGCACTTTAATTGAATAAATTCATTACCTAGAAAAGTGCGGGCAATAAAAATATAATACGGCAAAGAGTTTTACCCCAATAATACATATTTATATTATATAATAGTGAGCTGATTTCAGTGCAGTTGCCAAATTTTTACAAGTAATAACTTCCTTAAAATATTTCTGCCATTTCTCACGAGCCTATATGACTGGTCTTAAGATGGCCATTAACCTTGATATAGGGTTGATATGAAGCGCATTTTTCATTTATTATTAATATTGTAAGTCCGCACTATATAAACCCTCGCAACGGAGGGTCGCGAACCGCTTGTTTCAAAAGTTGTCCTCGCCACATAATAAAATAACAAAACTTCTTCTAGGAGCATCAGATGCAAAAATGAAAGCATTTTATTAATATTCGTGCAACGATGTTTCACGTATTCTCTAGCTTCATTGCTTAATTCAAATGATACATTAAAAAATAAACGTACGTCGAATGAAAAAGAACCAATTGCCAATCTTATCATCGACGGATAAAATAGAACACGAATAAAGTATTTAATTTCACACGTAAAATCCAAGTAAAACAAAACGTCTCCACTCAGACAGCAACAGCTTCAATGTTGCTAACTGAGAATTTCACCGATCCTCACGAGCGCGCTAAACAAAACAAATCTCCGCAGCGAATAAGTTTCGCAGCATCAGAAGTCGGCAGAGGGCTTTGCCAATCCTGATTATCAGGTCTTAAGATTAATTTGTAGGCGACCCCTGGGGGCTATCGACTCGGACGTTGTGAAAAGTTAGCGGGGCTTTGGACGACGTATTAGCCGACCATAAAAGATGCAGTTGATGAACCTAAGCTAATAGCAGGAAAGTGGCTGCCCGTTTATACCAATGTTGCATTGACATGATAGTAGGTGAGGTGTTCGATGTTATGGTGGAATTTTTATTCGCACGAACACATTAAAACTATTTCCATGTCATCTAGAATCCGGTATTATGAATCAAATGATGCATTAGAGTTCAGGTGTTTATTAAAAATTAATTCTTATTAGGGACATTTCTGCCTTGTGTTCAAGATGAGTATGATTCCGATAAGAGTTTAGATTTAACGATACAATTCTTACAATAAATGAATGGGTCACAACGTAAGGTTGTTAGACGAAATTAATAGAAAGCGTGAAAATTATTGAGCATCTTACACCTACAAATAACAAATCCTAGAAATAGATACGATTAAAGATTCTGATCGGAGCTTGAAACCACATATTATACAAGTATAAAATTCTAATAATATCCGATATAGTGAGAAAGATTCTGATCGGAGCTTGAAACCACATATTATACATGTATAAAGTTCTAATAATATCCGATACGGTGAACGCACTCACCCAAAAACAAGCTCTCGGCCTCATTGAGGCTGTCCCACACCGACAGCTCCAAAGTAAGCCCCAAGAGCGTGTCAATGCTGATGTTCTCCCAGAAGAAGGAGTTGTTCCATAAAGGCTTGAACGTCGGCTCCGACACATTCGAGCTCTGCATCTGGTAGTCTCTGTGTCGAGGTAGCGAATGGGCAACTTAGCTTCAAAAGGATCACAGATCGAGTTGTCTTGACTTCAAGGCTTCAAGACTCAGCTAAGTAATGAAGTTAAGAACAAGGAAACAGGAAATGAAAAAGTGAAATAGCAGAACTTCTGTATTACAATAAATAATTATCTAAAGAAGATCAAAGAAGCAGAAAGTGGCGTAAAAGAAAATATAAACAAAAAGTTATTGATGATATTTTGATGTAATATCCTGAATTCTAATCAAAATAAGACCCAGCTTTCAATGCAGTCACTCAACATTGCGTTTACCGACTACAAAATATGCAAGACAATTGCAAAATATTCAGCCTCTAATGTATTATTGAGCCATTATAATGTAAACTAACGTCGCATGCTTCGTTGCCTAAACTTCTTGTGAAAATGCTTGATAGTTCCATTAAACATATGTGTGCAAGCGGCACTAATGCAAATTCCTCCTAAGCTACACTACTGAAAACTGACAGGAATTATTGAAGCATTAATATAGACATTTTCGCGCCATGAACATCATAATGGCATCCTTGGAATGCACAACTTACGTCGCGTTCGGTACATCAGTTGGGCAGGATTATTACAGCTTCACATTAGCCTAATGTGTGTCTGGTCGGGCTTTGCAATATGAATTAACGGTCGCTACGCCATTGGTGCTAGCCGCGAGGGAAGCCCTCACCCGTAAGGGAAGAGACGAAGGCAAACAAAAGCCTGCGGTGGAGCGTAAGCGATGCCTTCTCTTGGCTTGAGATCATGGGCAGAGATGACGGTTACTACGAGACTCCGGCTCTCCTGGCTGAACCAAAGCTGGAGTTGAATCTTGCCGCTCACTGGACCACGACCAGCATCGCTCTGACCATGCAAACGTTAAAAATATTATAAGTCGAATAAAAATAGACACGCTGATTCAAGTGTTTGTTCGTTTGAGTTTCTTTGTTTATTTTGTATAAATAAACATTTATACAAAATTAAAATTTCGTATAGAAAATTTTGTAGTTCTCCCGTTTGCGATGTTAACCAATAAAAATATTTATTTTTCTATTGAAAACATTCCATGTACAATCCATATGATGGCATTGGCAAATTTTTCTGTCACGGGAATGTTTCTGAACAAGAGACTCTGTCTCTAGGGAAATTTCCAATGCCTCGGAGTCAATTTGGAGCCGAAACCAAACTCCTGTTTTGATTTGGTCGTTGCAGCTGTAGAAAATTTCACCCTGAGTGCCATTCACGCCGTCAATAATGGCCAATAAAGGCGATAAAGCAGCCGGCAGCTCGACTTGCCAGAAACACTTCCGTCATTGCCACCGCGAAAAGTTGCTTCATTTGCGTCCGTTGAAGCGGGAAATTGAGCAATTCATCGATGATAAAAATATTCCGGATAAAGCGGCAGGCACTTGCAAGTTTTAGCTGGATAAATAATTAAAAATGGTGTAACACTTTACTTGTACACGAAAAATTTACTGGTAAAAACTCATCTAGATTAATTAGTTCGAAGCTTAGTTCCTTTTTGATATTTGCAACGTAATGAAAACAAGATATTTAAAATTTTCAATTTCGATTTCGATACGTTAAAATAATTTTATCTCATAGATTATAAATCAAAGATTGGAAACCTGAAATTTAATGCACTTAAATTTCTGAATGTTCTTCGTTATTTAGTGAGGCCACAAGTTCCTAACACAATTTATGCTTGTAAGATTCCATCTCAAAACTCATGAACAACTCGATTAGAAAAATACCAGTATATACCAAAATATAACAGAACTTACGAATTGCTTCCGCGATAAGTAAACTTATAGGACACCATTTCCTGGATAACTTGGATTCATAATGGATTATTATTGAATGAATGAATCCAACTCATAAATCGAGCTACTACATCTTCTTACCGGCAGCCTGGGGAGCTTGCGTCTTGATGAAGAGGCTCCGGAGTATTTGTCTTCGTAATCTGAGGAATAAATCATCGAATTTTTAGAACAAATCTCCGGCACTTGCGATGCTAGGCAGCATTATTAACCTGATTATTTATTATGGAGTCAAAGTTGTGGAAACATTCAACGGGATTTAGGAATATATCGAGAAATTATTTCAAGTTGCTAACTTCCTGCTAGCGACGTTTCGTCTCAAGTTTAGCAAATTTCCTGAACAGGATATGTTCAGGAAATTAACTTTATGTAACTGTCGAGTATTTATCTTAAAGGCTCGCATATCAGCGAATTTGGTCCATGGATGGAAGAACAAATTATTGAAAACAGTTTGCCAATGTTCCTTTTGATATTGATAGAAGTAAATGAGAAGGTAAACCAGTAAAATTTTTATGTTAAATTCAAATCCTCATATCATAAACTCAATCTTCTATAATTAATTTTGCCGAGATAAACTTTGAGCTTAGATATTTGACACAGAAACAAGGAATCTAAGGACAGGAAATAACACAGTGTTCGAAAGTCTTCAAGAATTACCTACACATAGAATTCATTGGTGGTTTCTCGTACTATGAAATGTAATCATCAGTTGATTCTTTACTATTCGATTCATCATGATGGCATGGCAACACATGATGAGATGGATCGCATATTAAGATGGACATTAACCTTAATGCAAGATTAAAAAGAAGTGCATGTTCTTACTTATTAATATTATTGTAAGCCTGCACTATAAAACCTCGCACTGGAGGGAAGAGATCCGCTTGTTTAAGAAGTTGTCCTCGCCGCGTAATAAATAAACGAAACTTTTTCTAGGGGCATCATGACTGCATGACGAAACATCCCCGGTCAAAGATGACGTCGGGGTAGAGAACGTCTAAAATAAAAGCGTCTGTAGCGAACACCGGTCGTGGCAATGGCTACCATTACAGACGATTTACTTTACAGCTCGCATCAAAATGTCTCAATTGAGAAGGGCGAGGTCAGCTAACACGGTGCTTGGGTTCCGGCCAAATCTTTGACGGCCGTAAGGCTTTAAACTTTACCAAGAAAACCTCCAGAAAGAAAAGAACTCTATAAAACATTGCGAATTTACGGCTGTTTCAGCAGGCGAACAGTGCGGGGGGACAGGGCGAGGCAATAATGAACAGTCAGGCGGTGTACGCGCACTGAATTTATATGCTATAAAAATGATTTATGGAAAACGTTCGAATCCTGACTTTTCTAAATTTTTGTATAGTCAGATTCAAATATTCATGAAGAAGTATGGGTAGTATAAAATATCTTTGATCTTCAATAAGTTTTAGGCTGATCAAGGAAGAGCGCCACAACAGGGCATAATTTTAATGAAATTAATTTGTACAGTATGATGTATAATGATTCTCTGTTTCATGTATTTTTACTTAGGATGAGTATAATATTTGATAGCAGAATTGAACAACGATATTAAAATTTGCATCAAATGTAGAAATTGTGCACTTCTGAGTAGCCATACGTATAACGGCATGCATAGAAGTAATATTTTCAAGATATTGCTTCTGAAGACATACATAATTCCCTAAATAAATATTTTACCCCGAAAACTTTATTTCACTCATTGACTCGTCATAATAAAATGTATTGATTTTTTGTGTTAAATTTGCAAATTCAATTTCATTCTACATGAAAACACTTCCAGCTTTGCATGAACTGCCATCTTCGAATTCAATTGATATTAGATCTTCCTGAATCGAGATGATTTGATGACATTTAAATAATTCAAATGTCGAGCTGTCAACTAACCTAACGAGCTCCAGCCGTCCAGGGAGCCTCGGTGCTGGTCCATGTCTCGGTGCTCTGTCCTGGAAGACGGACAACACAGCAAATTTAATGAAGCAAATAAATCCTGAACTTGAAACCCGTCGTCGCTTTCTCTTCGAACAAGAGAAAATTGAGAGAGTGAGTGATTCCTTAAATTGTGTGCTGGGGGATTAAATGTTCTACATGGCACTTTGAAAGTTAAAATTTCCTGTAATGAATCTAAATAAAATACTTAAAAATACTTTTTTAAAAAACACGTTTTTCTTGTAGGCTAAAAAGTAGAAAATAAATTTTGGCTCGCCCCAAAAAACGTGGGTCGGGCTGTACGTTCAACATCAAATTTCCAAAATTCGTGTGTTGTGTGCTTTTCGCTTTAATCATAAATCTGCCCGACACACGTTTTTTGGGGCGAGCCAAAATTTATTTTCTACTTTTTAGTCTACAAGAAAAACGTGTTTTTTAAAAAAGTATTTTTAAGTATTTTATTTTCTCTTTTTTAGTCCGTTGCTGCACGGGCTAAAAAGCATGACTTGACGTACGTATTGATGATACGCAGCGTCAGCGCCTGCTCGTCTATAACGTCAGCGCCCACACGTCATACTATGTATATACTATATATATATACTTTACTCGATTAAACTAATTTAGGTCTCTAATTGCAAGTTTTTATGATTGTATCTGAAATTGTTAGGCGAAAATAGCCTGCATGCCGAATTTCAGATCTCTAGAGCAATCAGAAGTGGGCTAATTTTCGTTGTCAATTTTAACAACAAACAAACAAACGCGAAGCTAAGCTAAGAAAAACGTTCTAAAAATATAATTTTAGACATGACGCTAGAGGAAAAAATGTGTGAGTGATTTTTATTGGATAAACAATTATGAAAACATTATAATAGTAATGGTAACTCTTTGTCTTTAGTTTCCGATTTTCCTCAAACAAAAGGAATGCATTAAATATTTTTAATATAAAACCTATTTTAAGAAGGACAGAATAAAAACAATCTAATTTTACAACTCTAAGAACCTAATGCTACTCCGAAGAATTTCAATAAGACCTTCTATCAAAATCGATAACGTAAAGAATATGCAACATATCATTGAGATGGATCTTGTTTACGTCTCAATCTAATTCGTCATGGACATGTCATTTTTTGACGTCTTCATTCTTCAGAAAAGCACGTCATAGGAAACCCCGCATTTCGATATCCTAATCATGATTGAAGTAGCGCTGCTCGGATCAATTTTCTATTTGCATTGAGTGAGAAAAATGTGTCAGTTGATAGCCAAACATCAATGATGATGACATCACGATTCAGGGATGAAAGAGCTTTCAGAAATCAAAGAAAAGTTCGGTCGATTACTCAAATGAAATCGAGGAGTCGAACTCGAGTTCTCAAAAGATTTGTCTCCAAACGAGACTAGAGTTTTCAGTCTACTGAGCAACAAATAATATTTATAAATCGTTGTTATTTGAATTAGAATAAAAATATAAGTTTAAAGATTAATAAAATAAAAATAAAGATTAATATATATAAAAGAATAATGAAATAAAATATAGATTAGTTTCTTGGATATGAAGTAGAAACTATTATATAATCCTTATTTTTGGATGATAATCTCACACAAAACTCTCAAATACTCAGCGCCTACTTGATAACATTTGTTTAACAGGGGTATTCTATTATCATTGTCATTAATAATTTTTTTCGTTCAAACGAGAGCGCAAATGATACGTGAGATCGATTAGAATAATAAAAATTTACTTTTGAAATGTTTTGAACATGGTATTTTTAGGGCATTTTCTCATTTATGGAAAAAATGCCATATTGTGCTTGTCATGAGGGTCCGCCTGTCCGTCTGTCCGTGACTTCGCGTTTTCGTCGATTTTGAGAAAATGCACTCTGTGTCACTTACTGCAGTGAGTACTGAGTTATATTTTTTCTGCATAGGTGTCACAATAAATAGAAACAACTAAACATGAATAACTTTAATTACCCATTAAACATGCCTGGTTTTCTTATTCATCAAGTGACAAATTTAAATCCAGCACACAAATTAGCCAATTGTATAGAGCCTGTGTTCGTTAATGCGTTCAGGGGTTAAGTCAACGCACACGAGATGTATAGCGGAGCTCTATTCATAGCATAGCTCTGTTTGTATAGCGCATGAGAGCAGCAGCTTTAATGAAGAGGTTCAAGAGGCAGACTATTTACTCTGCGATGCGAGCAATAATGGAACAGAATTCACGCTATGATACTCTGGTCTTCACTATGTCACTCTGGTCTTCACTATGTCACTCTGGTCTTCACTATGTTACTCTGGTCTTCACCATGTCATTCTGGTCTTCGCTATGTCACTCTGGTCTTCACTATGTTACTCTGTCTTCACTATGTCACTCTGATCTTCACTATGTCACTCTGGCCTTCACTATGTCACTCTGGCCTTCACTATGTCACTCTGGCCTTCACTATGTTACTCTGGTCTTCACCATGTCATTCTGGTCTTCGCTATGTCACTCTGGTCTTCACTATGTTACTCTGTCTTCACTATGTTACTCTGGTCTTCACCATGTAACTCTGGTCTTCACTATGTCGCTCTGGTCTTCACTATGTCACTCTGATCTTCACTATGACACTCTGGCCTTCACTATGTCACTCTGGTCTTCACTATGTCACTCTGATCTTCACTATGTCACTCTGGCCCTCACTATGTCACTCTGGTCTTCACTATGACACTCTGATCTTCACTATGTCACTCTGGCCCTCACTATGTCACTCTGGTCTTCACTATGTCACTCTGGTCTTCACTATGTCACTCTGATCTTCACCATGTCACTCTGGTCTTCACTATGTCACCCTGGTCTTCACTAAGTCACTCTGGTCTTCACTATGTCCCTCTGGTCTTCACTATGTCACTCTGGTCTTCACTATGTCATTCTAATTTTCACTATGTCACTCTGGTCTTCACCATGTCACTCTAGACTTCGTCACGTTGACGAGTGCACAAGGGAAGGCAGAGTTAATATCGACAGCTGTTGAGCATCGCTCAGGCGTCCAGCTGTCGCCCATTACAGTAGCAACTTGGACAATGGTTTTCGTACGTAATGGCCTGGTATAAATTCGTTATTTCTCAGAGGATTTAATTCAGAAAATAAAAGTGAAATATCTTGTGGAGGTATAGAAGTTTGGAAACTTATTCATGGAATTTACATGATTTGGAGGCAGCATAAACTATAAGTCGACATTTTTTCTCGGAAAAACACTGTCGCAAAAAAATTTGAAACGATCTCCGTTAATGCAGCAATCCTTCGATAAGTTCAACGCTCTTACTAGGATAAAAGTGCTAGTTAAATCGCCAGTCAATTTACTCTCAGGAATTACGACGGAAAAATTCATCCGCTCTCCCTCGATCATCACGATTAAAGCGATAAAGGTTAAAATAATATAATGCGAGATCATGTCTAGCGAACAACAAGGATATGTAAATGACGGTTCATTTAATAAGTTAGTAGGCTCTCGAGTCATGAATTATAAAGGTGATTCGCACAGCAGTAATGTGGTATCTCTCCTCACAGAACACGTGTAAAAATTAGTTTTATCTAATCACCAGCAGCTTCTGCTCAGAAGTGATTCGTTGCCCCATTCTACCTTGCACTGCGAATTACTAAATTAAATAGAGATAATGAACATGTTGTTGATATCTGTACATAACAGAAAGCCTCTAACTTATCTTAGATCATGATATAATTACACGTAGAATCGATTATTTCTTTGGTTGTATGGGTTACAGGGCACAAAAAAATTAAACAGTAAACACTCATCATCCGAGTTACTTAAACTTGAAGAAATAATTCCGTAGAGTTAATAAGTAAGTCTGTGCCTGTGCTTCTATCATTTCCCGGAATGAAATTGCTTATCCTTCAGGAGTAAATTTGATTTGTTTTCGAGTTAATGGCGTTTGATTGTGCTTTTGGCGATCGATGTGATTGATGGCAGCGATGCACTCTATTGGCAACTACACGTGACTGAAAGAGTGCGGTGGTGATTAATGTACCGGAAGATTGGATGTAAGCAGGAATTATGCATGAAATGATGCCCCGATATCTAAAGAGACAGTTATCTGTACAGTTTCTTTGCCTGCAGTGGCATTGGTGATGTAGCTAAAATGATATTACAGGCAGTTCAGTAGTGCGCGGTTGTGATGTGCAGTGATGTGTTGTGTGATTCACACACTGCACACTGCACATCACGTCACACTGCAGTGATGTGTTGTGTGCAGTGATGTGTGTGTGAGTCAGAGATCACATCACAACACATGATGTGATGTGATAAGTCAGAGTGTCAGAGTATCGAAGTCTGATACGTTAGAGTGTCAGAGTTGTAGGGAAATGCAATAAAACTATTATAATTAATCGTTTAGGGTTTTTATTTACCTATGATGAGACCTCGTTTAGACGCGTTTTGTGCTTTTTCGTTGCCATGTGATCCAGCGCGGAGGGGCGTGTTTGATTTGTTCTATTCATTTGTGGTAATCAATAATTATGTGTCGATTCAATGGTGTTTGTGAGTGGTAATCTGGAATAATATTATTTATATTGGTGTATTATTTACTTTTGTCAAGTTTGCCTACAATCTTTTTTCTTTGGTGTAGATCATAAAAAGTTTTTAATTTGTTTTTATTTTTGCATTTGCAGAAAGGCTCCGAACCTGAGACTAAATCACGGTTCAATAATCAAGTGTTTGGCTATAAAGAGAACACGTGGTAAATAGTCTCATATTTATCATTTATTTATAATTATAGTTATCCATTCAGTGTCCGGGGCCACGGAATGGCTTTATTTATCAATTCATAGAATGAGCCTCAACATTTATCAAGCAACGAACAGAAATTTTGTGCACTTCTCTATTTAAAATCCATGACGTGTGCCGTTTTAAGCAAATAATCCTTCAAATAAAAGTTACTTGTGTGCATGGCAAGTATTTTCAGAAAAATTCATTATTTCCTCACAAAAGAATCTGAACGTGCATCCGGTTATTCCTGCATAATAAACATGTTTCTTAATATGTGTAGCATTTCTGGCACATAAAAATTTCATCATTTCTTTACACTAGTATCAGAACGTGTACCCAATTATTCCTGCATAATAAACATGTTTTTTAACATGTGTAGCATTTCTGGCACATAAAAATTTCATCATTTCTTTACACTAGTATCAGAACGTGTACCCAATTATTCCTGCATAATAAACATGTTTCTTAATATGTGTAGCATTTCTGGCGCATAAAAATTTCATCATTTCCTTACACTAGTATCAGAACGTGTACCCAATTATTCCTGCATAATAAACATGTTTCTTAATATATGTAGCATTTCTGGCCTACGCAGTCCGAGAATACAGTCTGTCCTGTACAAGCGGAGGCAGGAGCGCGTAATGAGGTTGTCTTGGGAGTAGCGGAGCTGATCTAATGAAGCCAAGTCGAACATTTGTGCTGCAATTTGCTGCTTATACGCCGGTCCTTATAGCGGCACAGCCTCTGAAGTTAGTGCTAAGGCAGTCGCTCGCTCGTGCCTGCTTATGGAAACTCGCTAAATTCAGACCATGTGGATTGTAGGAGAGATGAATGATTGTATTTTTGAGTGAAATTGGTAGGCTGCTAAGGAAAAAATTTAGAGGAGATTTTAAAGTTTCACTTTCAGTTGATGTCAAGCAGAGAATTGATTCACTTATCAAATCAAATTTATATTTTTATTATAAATTGACTATCCAAAATTAAATTCGAAAAATATGTATTATAGTAAATATAGAGATATTAAGAAGATGTATAAACTATATCGACTCTCCAACTTTCCATGAAATATTCAATCGCGTTTGAAAATACAGCTACGTGGTTATTCATACTAGAGTTTTTTCAAAACCATTTGAATCTGAAACCATTTATCGCGACCTTGTTAACAGTTCATATTACTTCCGGAACGAGCGTTCACACTGAATTGATTGCGCTTCATGTTATCTCCAGAGCTGAGCCTGAGGATCTTACAATCGCTCTCTCTATTGCCACTGACAAGTCCGAGTACAATCAATATTGAACTTGAAGGTGATTGAAGCGCAATCTAATGACAGACTCTAGGTATTGAGTGGAAATGTGACACTTGGAGATAAGAATATGTCCGATAACGTTGCTATAATCAAACTTAAAAAAAGAAAATTTTATTTTGTTATAAAGAAACACCACACCAAATAACTATTATCATAATTGTTGGGAAAAGAGAATTACAATTAATGAAAAGTTATTAGAGGTCTTATTAATTAAGTCGAAAAATTGTTTCCTTGTGATGAACAATAAACACTCGAAAAATTATTCGAGTTGTTTCTCATTTTCTGAAATAAATTGGTTTCAACGAGTTTTAATCGAACTGCTTTTCCCATGCACTCTATTATCACGTGTATGTTGATATTATTTTATCGAGTTTATTTTTTATTGGTTCGCCTGAATTTTAATTAAATCAGAAAATATATTATCAGAATAAAAAAGTTACAACAAATTAAATTAACAGATGCTGACAGGAAATATGTAATTTATTTGTTTGAAATCGAGAACTATTCAGAGCTTACATGTCTCCGGAACTTTCCAGGACCATGTCGATGACTTCGAGGTTCGTGGTCTGCTCGATGATACTGCAGACCTCCTCGAAACTCCGGTCTACGAGACTCACGCCGTTCCATTCCAGAACCTGGGCCCCGAACATAAAATTCCCGTTATTTTAGAATAGTTAAATTCGAATTTTTATAAATTTTATAATGGAAAGAAAAAGTTAGCAGAGTAAGATAAAACCGAGAAGAAGTGTAAATTTCTTGAAATTAATTATTAAATAATTTAAATTCTGATTATCAGTCGATTTTTCTTAAACCATTTAGTTTAAAGGAAAATATGGTAGAATAACGTAAAACTGATATATGATTTGCATTTTTTGAGATTTTGACTACATATTAGGAGTATTCGGTTTCTTACGAAGCGTTTAACTAATCATTCTCAAGCATACAAAAATAACTAACAATGTAGATTGTGTCATTTTCCCGGTGCACAGAACAATGATGATTGTCTTGCTCCGTGAACACATTCCGTCGGAAACCCTTATACGAAAGCACGAAGATTTTTCCTGTTATAACTGACAGACGAAATAAAAAAATGTATATCGCCAACGTCTGAGAATGTGGAGCAAAAAGCGGACATTTTTCTTCTCCTGCGGTTGTGACCAAAAACAATTAGTCTTGCCAAGTGCTGAACAGTTACAAGGAATAAAGAAAATGTATTTTATTATATTCCAATGTACCTCCAGCAGAACTAAAATGGAAGATATGTCTCCAATAATTGAAGAATATATTATTCTATATGTATTATATTATATATTTCTATATAATATTCTATTCTATATTCTGCAAATAAAACGTAATGCAACTTTGTTTGCAGGACAAATTTGCAATCTACTTAACCTCGTCTTGCTGACGCCCACCTCGTCTTGCTGACGCCCACCTTGTCTTCCTGCCGCCCACCACGTCTTGCTGACGCCCACCTTGTCTTGCTGACGCCCACCTTGTCTTGCTGACGCCCACCTCGTCTTGCTGACGCCCACCTCGTCTTGCTGACGCCCACCTCGTCTTGCTGACGCCCACATCACTAGTTGTGTCACTAGTTGTGTCACTAGTTGTGTCACTAGTTGTGTCACTAGTTGTGTCACTAGTTGTGTCACTAGTTGTGTCACTAGTTGTATCACTAGTTGTATCACTAGTTGTATCACTAGTTGCGTCACTAGTTGCCACAAGCTTCAACATTCTCCAGTGCAACATCGCTTTTTGGAAAATCTATTTTATTCGTATATTCTATTTGTAAACTATAATTCTATAAATTTGTACAGTACACTAGTCCTGCGTGAAATGATATTGAGCTTCAGCAACTTTATATAGCGGAATTTTCTAGTGAAGATTATCTTTTTATGTTATAAATCAAGAGCGTTTTTATTTTCGATGGAAAGAGTTCGATCATAGCAGCGACATTGTACTTCACAATAATTGATGTAGTGGGCAGGTGCTTTTTGAGCTCGAGAAGCTACAGTATATTGCAATTTTTATGACTGGCTCTGAACGAAAAAAATGGTATTCATTGAGAGCCAATTTAAAAAGTTTAGCGAACTAGAAGAGGAATTCTTTAGTATTATAGCAGCTTTGTGTTATTTATGAAAAATGTAATATAATGAAGGCGATGGTATGCCATATCTTTACCTCATCTTTTGCTGGATTGGTGTATCTAGCTAACAATCATGAGTAGAATTATATCTATGTGCAGATAGTTTTCATTCATCATTTGAAATTTCTCGAAATTTTACAGCAGGACAGTGACCAAACAAAATAGACCGGGCAGTGGCCAAACGGATGAAGGTCAAACACTGATGAAGTAAAACCGAAATTCATGCTGAAGTTGAATTGATAACTCGACAAAACTCACATCTGTTGTTGATGTCCGACATGTCGCGATGTACCGTGACTCTCCTTCGACCTGCGCCTTCCGATTTCACTGCAGCAACAAAAATCAAAGAGTATTTAAATGCAAGAAATTAATAAACATCAAAATACGATGAGTTTGGGAGAAAATGAGTTGAAGTCAAGATATGAAAACTCAAATTGAATCAATTTAACAATTTTTGCACGAAATTACACGGTAAAGGACAATTCATTTCACGGTACAATTCATTTCATAGTAGTACATAGTTTGACGATTTACTTCAACGTAATGTTTGAAAAATTTTCCGGATACGATCCAGTTTCGTTATAAGTTTCGCCCTTGTTTTTTGTGAAAAAATGAATAATTCATGAAAAAATGAATTATATTTGTCAATAATAATTACAGATTACTAAAACGAATAATATCAAAGCTAAAAGAATTGTACGCTAGAACAAAGAATAGACGTCAATAATACAATTTTCACTCACGATGAAAATGCCAAACTTAAAATTATTCGATGGAATGATATCAAAACCCATTCTAAAAGAAACGTTTCAATCGAACATTTTAGGATTACAAACTTTCAACATTTCTTTTATGATTTCATGTGACCATATGATCGTATACATAGGAAACTACCGGTATATTTTTAATGCAAAACAGTCATATACATAATCGACTCCATTGAATTACGATGTGTGCTGACTTCTGGGCCAATTCTCGTACAGTTAATCATATCGCAATGTTTGTATGGGCTTAGCCCTGAACCTTGAAGACACTATATATATGTACTAGGATATATATAGGAGCTGGGCTGCAGATGTATCACCTAAGATGCGCCCCTAAACTTTCTCGATCTGACGAGATTATTCCAGCAAACTTTGGCGATCCCTTCAAGTCGATACAACATCACTCAGCTTTTCGAGGTAAGAAATAACTTGTTTGCGAACATTTCGTTCGTTTTCAGCGGCTCTATCGAAGACTCACGACAACGTATAGGAGATCAGGAACATCAGATCAGGAACATGCACGTTACCGTACATATTTTGACAAACCTATGTACGTACGATGATAGATTATATATAATAGATTGAAGCTGCGTCTAAAACAGTATCATCTGGATTTTTAATTTCGGAATCATTTGCTCTAACTTCATTTAGAAACAAATAGGTTGAAAAATATTTTACCGTGGTTATATGCTTGCAGCTGATTGTATTATTGAAACGGTGATTCACAGAAGCGTTGCTGGACCTACTTAATGATAATAATTATTGACGCAGTAAACCAGTTAGGCTTATGTTAGTGCTAGTCAATAACGAGGCTCCCAAGTGCCTCTAAACACTTGAGCTACATTCGAAATCCCTTCAGGTTAATGAGCCCTTCATGTAGGCTCATTAGCAAGAATTTTTGGTGCTAAATTGGGATCAAAAACGTTGCCATTTCGAGTCCAGGCGGGGGCCATGTTGGCAATTCAGTGACAGTCTTGATACAGGAGAAGATCTTCAATTGAAGAGAACTCGAGATATCCTTGTTAGTCCTTCCATGCTGCTATGAATGCTGTACTAATTAGCCTCTTGGGAAGGTTCATGCCGGAATAACACAGCACTTTGGGCAACAAAAGATGTTTCTCGTGCCTCCTTAATTGAAACAGCGCAAGGAAGAGGGAGTCGTCAAATTATAATAACATGAGTTGTCAGAAGCATTAAGAATAAATAATAAACTTTATATTTTGATCATGGTAGAAAATATACACGGATTGCGATAGCAAATCCTTTTTAAATTTCTGAATAGAATGTATTTTACAGCGGCGTTTTTTTATGGACATTTAGAAGAGCGACATAGTAGTTCAAAGGTTCGGTTATATTTACTCCTTCAAAAAGGCTTCGTCCATCGCCCACGCATTTGATCAAAAATTTTTGTTGGTTTTCAATATGCTTAAAATCTTCTTGCTTCGGTTGGGAAAATTTCAGTGAATGGAGCCGTAAATAGCCGCAAGGATTTTAGGTATTTCGAAAATAAATATCTTACCGTGGCTGACATGTTTTAGATCATTTAACGCGGCGGATCGTGTGATGGAATACTGTCGGAAAACTGTTTTTAGTTCATGGTTCATTTTGAGTAATCATTTTAATGAGCCTTAACCTTTATGTTAATTAGATAAGCAAAATTGTATTGATTTATGCTGGATGTTTGAGCAGGAACATCAACATACATACGTTACAAAGAATTGTGACAATCTGCACATGAAGAAGTATGATGACAGCAACATTTCTGTCACACCGAATAATGAATTCCATGGGAAATGCAAAAATATTTAAAATATGCGTACAAATCTGAATCTTCAAATTTATTGAATTAGCTAATTTCTATGTCAAAATGTGATTATAAATGGTGTTTGCACTGCTTTTTCCCCAGTATTTCCTCGATACCTGCAGTTGCGTAAGTTTCAAATAGCACCTGTCCAACAAAATATAAATAACTTACATCAAAGGCTAGTTTAATAAAATGTTATTAGTTCAGTTACCTGCTGTGAGCATGATGGCACAATGCTGATGGCTTCATGATTTCATGAGCATTATGGCACAATGCTATGGCTTCTCATTAGAATTATATGCATCCTTACATATCGCCTGCAAACTCACCAGCATATGGCAGTCACTAAGGACTTTACCATTTATATTCATACTTATGTTTTTGCCATTGGCTATATTGGTATAGTATATATTAGTATAGTATATTGGTATGGTATTTTTTTCCATTGGCTATAATATCCGATGCACACGGAGAATTAGGTTTCAAAATACTTTAATGAATCTTTCCTTCCATCTACTGAACTCTCCTCTACCACTTATTCCAAATTTTGCTATCTCTCTTTTAACTGCTAAGTAATCCGGGACGATCACGCCCGTTATTATCTTATTCCACCATTTTACTCACTGATTCTAGAAGATCTAATCTATAATAGTTGACGCAAAATTTGACGCATCTTCCCTGAATATATTTTTTCCGCTTCATTTCAACAAGAATTTTTGGTATCATCTATTCCGGGGGTTTTACTCACTGATCCTGGACTGATCGGTCTCGACGTCATGGATGACGATCTTGATGGTCTCGGCATCGTTGATGGAGCTCTGACGGCGGTGGGCGGCATCATCAACGCTCAGAGACGCGTTGCTTTCCAGAGACGCTGTGCCCCGAGACCCACCGCTCGTCCCCATCCCGTATGCCACCGCACGCGGGGAGTGCGGAGGAGTGGGCAAAACGCGGCAAACATCGGATCTGGGGATAAAAGTTTACTTGTTTTTAAGGGGATTAAAGCCGAGCACAAACTGACTGCCGCACTGACCAAAATGAGAGTCTTACGTTGCCTGGGATTGCGTGGTCGACGCTCAAGAAATGCCGAGCTCCACTATGATGGGAAAAATCTGCTCTGAAAAGCCCTAACACATCCTCTTATGGAGGATACATCGAGGAAGGCCGGATATGAAAGCTCTGACAGAGATTAATAAAAACCTTCGCACATTTGTGGGATAACCTCTTGCTTCGGAATAAAGGATTTTCTATATGAATATTGCAGAATTTATTATTTTTGATTTCTTTTTAATCGCGTGACATTAATAGTTTTATGGAAATTACTTCTCTGCATGAATTAGAATTTGAAAATCATTAATGGATGTCATTATTGAATAATTGGATTAATGAAAATAACTTTTCTGGAATGTTCTTTATAGAGCGTTCTGTAAGTTTAAGTTTATTCATTTAAATTACAGGCATAACCCTTACGTTGATGCTTAAACAATGTACAATCTTTTTGATTGTTTCATGCAACATAATTTATTGTATAAAACATCACTGTAAAATCCAACTCGTGCAAAAGTTGACTCGATTTTATCGTTTTTTTACATCAATTCAGAAGTAAATGTCCATGGAAATAAGTACTTTAAAACAACTCATAAATTTGTGGAAATATCGGGTAATGTCGAACTCTGAAACGCATATCGATCGCACCAGCGCTTCGCCATCCAATTTAACTTATGTGGAGCTTCTGGCTTCACTGCGAGGTTTCTCGTCGCATCTTGGCAGACATTTAAATTACGATGAATGTAGAAAATTAAATTTTCTTTGTGTTATGTCGTAATATGTGCTGCCGAAATAAAATATTTTCATGAAGTTGAATTTTGTTCCTGAAAATTCTGACTGCAAGCATCAGTCCCACCTCGAAAATCAAAATTGAAACTTCGTCAATTTGAAAATGATATTAAAATGTGTCTAGTAACAATTGAAAATCTTTAATATTTTTTTTTGAAAGAATACCAGAGATATATTCATCCTCAAACGAAAGGCGAAATTCTACTTCTTTTGAACGCTACTTCATCTCAAACTACTAAATATAATTCGAAACTCAAGTTAAGAGTTAAAAAAACGGAACAACCAAATTAATTTCCAAGAAAATTTTGCTTAAAAGTGCAGAAAAAAGCACTCACGCTGTGGACGAGCGTCTTCTAGTGGATCTCCACTCATCCTCTGCAGGATGAAGGAAGTTTTCTTCTTCGAGACTCAGACTTGACGACGCCTCCCGCCGCCTGACTGGCTTAGCAGCGTCTTGTTTAGCCGCGCCGCTGTCTTTACGGCCAGCCGAGGCTGGACCAGACGGCTTCACGGCCGACTTGGTAGGAAGTGGGTCGCCTTGACTCACCGGCGCGTCTGGTGACATGGGCGACGGAGACGACTCCAAGGCTGGGGAAGAGGGGATTGTCAGGAGACGAAGGTGATAAAGGAGTGGATGATCGCCTAGGCTTGGATTTGCTGAAAGCTTTTGATTTGATTTTTTTTTTTGACGTATTGTTAATAAATTATAGACATTGATTCAACTGTTTTAAGAGGCATTACTGGAAGCAAAATTATGACCCTAATACTAATACTAATAATGTTGGGGAAATTCAAATTATGAACGACGAGGTATTAAAGAGACCAAGCGTCAGTCAAAGACGAACGAATTTAGCTAACTTATTATTCATCCATTCGACTAAGTCGTCTAAAATCTTCGGTTTTATAAGCGTGACGCTCAAGTAATTCCTGTAACCGTGAGCGCCGCGGTGTTCACAGCATAAACGAAATTCAGAGTTAAACTTTTGCCCGCGTAAATCGAAACGTTGCACTCAATTTAATTCGTGACCGCGCTGTCACAGTTTGTTATATCTGAGGGCTGAGCTCAGATTAAGCTGCGTGGCAACTGAAACTGGATTTTGTTTTTTGTAGCGAATATCTGGAGCAAATAAATGAATTAACAATATTCTGGCGACAAATTCTTTAACTGATCAATATATAGGGATTAACCAGTCCATAAAAAAGTATCCAAACTACTAATTGCAGTGAAAACTATTGCTGGATATTAACTCGTCAAATACAATATATGATAAAATTTCTAAGACCATCAACTATTCATCAAAATCTTTTAAGCCACACTACGCTAACCTTAGCCAAATTTATAATATACTTTATTATCTAATATTAGAAATTAACCGAAATTGAGAATCAAAGCTGATCTCAAATCAAAGTTAGCTCGGCAATGGATGTAAGTCGCAGCCAGAACGAGCTTTCCTTCCTCGATTTGCCGACTATTTTGGGCGAGACAAAACAACGCTGATCTGCTTTCATTTGTTGTCGCCATACGGAGCCTGCAAATGCGGCTTGCGATAGTCTCGGTCCCTGACAGCGGCTCTGGAACATCACTCCAGCTCAGGGAGAGAGGTGTGTCAGACATTTGATCGTAGAAAGGGAGAATGGGGGAGGAATGAGTAAATTTGGTGGAAGAAAGGGGGAATGGGGAGAGAAATGAGGAAATTTGTTGGATAGAAGGGAAAATGGGAGGAGGAATGAGGAAATTTGAAGGAAGAAAGGGAGAATGGGGGGAGGAAGGAGGATATTTTATGGAAGAAAGGGAGAATGGGAGGAGGAATGAGGAAATTTGAACGAAGAAAGGGCAATTTTAAGGAAGAAATGACGAATGGGGGGAGGAATGAAGAAATTTGAAGGAAGAGAGGGAGAATGGGAGGTGGAATGAGGAAATTTGATGGGAGAGAGGGGAAATGGGGGGCGGAATGAGGAAACTTGATGGAAGAAAAGGAGAATGGGAGGAGGAATGAAGAAATTTGGTCGAAGAAAGGGAGAATGAGAGGAGGAATGAGGAAATTTGGTGGAAGAAAGAGAGATTCGTAGTAGGAATGAGGAAAAGCGAAAGATAATGATAAAGGATTGAAAAATTCAATCATTCCAGAATGATATCGATAAAATGTATAAGTGTTTGAAAATAATAAATAATAAAATAAGTAACAATAAGTAAATAAAATAAAAACAATAAATAAAGTAATGAACGTGTTTCAAAAATTATTCAAAAGTTACATTTTTAGAAAATTAAAAAAATTGAAGTTTAGGTAGGAAGGCGAAAGCTAATTGAAACACAGATAGAAAAAAGGACGAAGGCAGCAAAAATAAAAAAAATACAGGCTCATCAGAAAAATCATTAAGTAAGAAAAAAACGAGAAAAGTCGACAAATGAATAAAAAATACAATGTTGAGATAAATAAGAAAAATAACTGGGTAAAGTAGGGAAAAAGGACAGCATGAAAAAAATCTATGAGAAATACAAAGGCTTTGTATAAATTTTTTTGGTCCTGTGGCTCTTTGTCCCGATATAATAAGGACTTATCGGTGCTAACCGAAGGAAGAGTATCACTATTTGGATACTATGACCCATTAATTAAGACATAGTGTGGAAATAGTGCGCACTCACCCGAATATCCCGCTTCATGATGGTTTTCGTTGTTGCGTGAGATGGATGACCGGTAGCCAGAGTGTCGGCCTGCAGTGGCTCGAGATCCCCGTCTGTTGTCGTCTATGGCTGTCATGCTGCCCACCTCACTCGGTCCACCGCTGCTCATGTCGCTCTCGCTGCTCTGCCATGATGACCCGCCTCCAGGACTGGAAAAAAATATAAAATTTATGTGGAACTAGAGCTTTTATAAAGAAATTTTGATCAGGACGGAAGTATGGGGAAATTCCACATTAAAATTGCTATCGATTTCATCTGCCATGAAATTTTACTTCTGGGAAAAAAATTAGGCTATTAAAAAATACTTTTCAGAGATAACACTTCTAAAGAGGCCAGTGTCTCCGATGTTATACATGTACACTGAATTTCTTACTTTTTTATATATTAAAAATAATTTTTTCACATTTTTTATATTAAAAAATATTTTTTTATTATTATTTATTCTGTCAATTGATTCAAGCGTTGTCTCCAACTTTACGCAAGTGTGCAAACTTTCAGGTGCGAAATAAATTTGCAAGCGTGAAATAAATAATTATGAATTATAATAATAAATAAAGGCTTAAAATCGTAATAATTTTATTAAATCCCAGGGACCACACATAAAAAATTATATAGGATTTATACAACAACTGCTGATATAGATGTTTTCCCGGCTGCAATGCACTTGAAGTGCCGGCAAAACATTTAGTCTGGAAGCGCAAGTTTACCGAAACACCAACAAAAGGAGCTCTGCTAAAGCCTTCGCAATTGAATAGAAACGAACAAAATGAACGAGCGCAGAATTCAAACCGGCAGATATATACGAGCTGAAATAAAAGCATATAAGATTTATTAATGGTTTGCACGAAAATGCATCGCCTACGCTTGGATTTGTTGAAATTTTTTCAAAAGACAACATTCATGTATTGTGAATAAATTATTGACATTGATTCAACTGTTTTGAGAGGCATTACAGGAATCAAAATTATGACCATGATACTAATACAAAAGTACAGAATAAGAATACATTGAGTGACTACTTCCAAGTGACATGGAAATCGAAATTCTATTTGTAGATGACATTTATGGCAACGGTATTATTTGGGATAAAAAATTATCTTTAAGAAATATAATTGAAATTATATAAATAAAAGGAAAATGAAATATTTTATTGTAAATCAAAATAATGGAAGAACCTATTATGGTTATACTTTAATAATATAAAGTCATCCCTAAATTCTGACCGGTGTAAACGTAGCAAAAAATTCAGAATTTGAACCAAGCATGAAGGATGATAGAACAAATCGAGGTATTAATTAAAAGTAAACTCACGTGGCCATGAGCAGGTTCTGGTTGGGCAAGTCGTAGTCGCAGCTGTGGTGCCTCTGTGTCCGACATGGAACGTCTAATGAATCTCGGGCCTTCCTGGCAGCTTCAAGAGCTTCATCTCTTCGGGCAGGTCCTTGAGCTGAGTGTCTCCTAACAGGCAGCTGGCTCCCGCCACCCCATAGGGGAAGCAAGGAATTGTTTTGTGTTTCTAGATCCTCCTCATAGGATTGCTGGCGAACAATTGACTTGCGTCTTCCTCTCCGGCCTCCCTCCAGCCTCGATTCATCACCCGAAGATTCTCCTGAAAGCTGCGATGTGCTGCGTTTCATTTCCCTGGGCGAAGAGCTTTCTTCGGACTCCTGAGAAATCTTTCGGCCGATTTGCTCCCCGTTGTTGTTCTCAGCCTCGGATTTCTTCTGGTTATCTGAAGGTTTGCTATCAGAAACATTTTGTGCCGTGGCCTCAGGCTGCGAATCGACTGGCTTCTTCTGAGAATCAATTGGCTCGGGCTTAGGAGTTTCAGTTAGTATTAATGGGGGAACGTAAGACATTGATGGCCTTCGTCGCTCGAGTCCACTGCCGTACGCCAACGCACTTGTCACTCCGTCCACAGAAAGCGACGAAGCAGACGTGGTATTTGATATAGCAGGAGGGACAGGAACGAGCGATTGAGCAGTTGTCGAAGCTTGAAAACGCATCGTCGTGGCGGGGCTATTAGATAGTTTTTGTTGTTGGGAGAGCTGTTGTTGTGATTGAAGCTGATGTTGTTGCAGAGATTGTTGCTGCTGGATTGGGGCTTGGGAACTTGCTAAAGCCACAGATGCAATCCCCGTCATGAGGGTCAGGGCTGTGGGTTTACCGGGGGTTGGGAGGACTGGGGCTGAGAGGCTTGGCTTCGTGGGAAGGATTATTACGGTCGTGTCTTGCGGTGGAGGGTCTGGAGGCCGGGCCCTCGAAGACAGGCGGCGCTTGCATATACTGCAGTGCCATGTGTTCTGTGTCGAAAAATATGTCATATTCAAGTGAATTTTATAATAAACATGTTTCATTTCATACATACCTGAATTTTATTTTGATCATCAATAAAAATTTGGATTAGATAAACTGTAAAGAATGTGCAACCATAGGAATTTGCACCATGTGCTAATGTGCAAACCAATGAAGCAAACGCGTGACAGATTGCGCACTCTGCCTTTGTCTTAATTACGAATTTTGTTCATTGTTTAATTCCAAGTACCGAGATTTAACCCAATTTTCGCAGTTCACTCGAGCTGCGCCATTGAAAGAATTGAGGTTCATGCCTTATTTTCATGTCTTTAGTCTGTACAAAATCCCTTCTCAATAATTCCATTATTTCTCGATGCCGTGAACGGAGCAATTAAACTTTAAGAAGTTCATTAGAACTTTTAATGAGCATGAAATTAGTTTTTCCTAAGTTCGTTTGTCGTGACTGCGTTAGAAAACATTAAAAGTTTTACGAAAAATTTTCTCGCAAGCGTCAAAGTTCGGGCAGAGAGCAACACTTTAGAATCGGCCGACAGGATTTCTTAAAATTTTCTCAGGCTCTTCTCTTGAACGATTTAATATAAAAGAAAATTTCCTTCGGAACGGACTCAATCCGGGCACATTTCTCTTCAATACCGCACGAAAAAGCTATTTCGAAAAATCGAGCATCAAAATTTAATGTTTTTATTAAGTAACCTAATTAGATGAAGATAATTAATACTCAACTAGATGAAAACCATGAAGCATAAAATTAGCAGACCAACTCTCGTTAATATGTTCATGACGTCAGAGCATTCACAATAGGACTTTTTTATTTGAAAGCTAGCGCATTTTTAGACTGCAAATAGACTGATTTTTATACATGTTAGCCCTTCTAAATAAGTCGAGTCTAGTATTTGGTCTCTTGATGAATTTAAGTTTATAAGCTTTTATGGTAAACTCTACTGGAATAATTTAGAAGAACACATCTCTTATGTTTTACATGGAGGTAAAAATAATATTATGTATTTCCATGCAAATGCACAGTCGTCTCAGCAAAGAAAGCAATTATTTTCAGTATGATATCAATGCTCAATTCTGCTAAAAAGTTAGCGATGGAGTACAGCAAATTTTTTTAGGCGGTAAGACATGAAAATGCATTTTGTATAGAATGAGCCATTTGTGTGTTTTTCGTATTTCCATTATATTCTTCTCATATTCGTATTAGCAAAAGTGTCAGAGATGAGATAAAAAGTAAGGTTAAAAATTTAATAATTTTAATTTGATTCTCTGTTCAAGAATAAATTTCAAGTTGTCAGTTAAATTTTTCATCGAGACATTGAAAAGGAGATACGTGTTAAATGTGCATTCAAAAGAGTCTTCGTTTTATTATTGCACTTCAAAATATAAACGGAATTCAGGGTGACACGATTCGAGATAACGAGATCGAGAATTTAATCCATTTAATCCAGTCAGACTTTCATGAAATCCGCTACTATTTTTCCTGTTCCAGAATATAAGTCAACAATGTATTAACTTTCGTCCATGATTTCTATTTATTTTAGTGAAAAGTAGAGTCTTCGCAGATTCCATTAATCAAGTAGAATATGAAGAACATAACGAAAAAATCTGCCTTCACTAAATTCACTCCAGCGTTGTGTAGGAGTCTCTCTTTTATACGGGGAATTGTTGAAAGGAAAGCACGCTGATTTATGTCTTTGGAATAAGGTTCTACATTATTGTTCAACAGAACAGTACTCGTAAGTTTATCTCATTTGCGTAGAATATTTCTTAAGAAACTTCTGAATCATAAATTCCAACTGGAATATTCAATGAAAACTTGCGTGAAAAGCCACGTGCACATCACAACTTGGATTAACTTCTTTTCTTCCTCACCCACTCCCCTGCCTCACCCACTCCCCACCTTGTCAGAAAATGTTATTGAAGAACTCACTCTCACCCAGCGTCTGGTGGGTTAAAATACCAAGCTTTATTTTATTGTTATTTATTATCCCTTGTCAGAAAATGTTATTGAAGAACTCACTCTCACCCAGCGTCTGGTGGGTTAAAATACCAAGCTTTATTTTATCATCCGTTGGCAGTAAAGCTATTTTACGCAACTAAATATACAAATAGTGAAACTTAAGCAACAAAATATACAGACGAGTTAAGAGCGAAACTTAGTCCAATTAGTTTCATAATGCACTCGGAATGAACTATTTCTTCAAGGATGGATAAAATATTAAGAATTTAAATTCATATATGATTGAAAAAATAGATTAACTTGTTGGAAATAAGAAATTCACGGGCCAAATAAAACTTACTTTGGAAATTAAGGCTTTTGTCCATGAAATTCAGATAACTTTGAACATCTCTTATCATAAAACAACTTGAAAATTTCACATCAATCCTAGTGGAAAGACGGACACTGGAAACAAATGAATATTCAGTGGGGAACACTCTCTTACAATGAAACCTTAAACAAATTCTTATGTCATTTGATCAGTTGTTATACAGATCAACACAAGGACTCATAATTGTTTTAGTGCATTAATTCCTAACAACCCAAATCTTCGCACCAACAACAAAGGAATAAAAAAGCAAGGATATTAAATTAAAGTTCTCTACTAATAATTAACGTCGTTGAGGATGATTTTTTCGTCTAAATTAATCCACAACCAACATATTTTGATGCTGGAAATAATTTTAAATTTCTGAAAATAATATAATTTATGTCACTTTCAACTCCTTGATACTCAGCCAATTTCACACTGCAATTCATCTTACGCTCACGTGAAACTCTATTTTTGCTTGATGCTCCCGAGGCGGTCACCCACTGCAGTTTTGATTCACCCGCTGCACTTGAAACATGCCCATGACACGCGCATGCAACACATCAATCACTCATACAACAAACACGAATTCTATCGAAAAACACAACACCCGCAGCTAATGCTACTTCCTAAGCTCGCTACACACCATAACTCCACATGACTTACTTTTATCACAATACAATAATCGCAGGCTATGTCCATGCAGCCTCATTATCTCGAATGACGCGCTATAACCACTTCCGGTGTTCATTTTGGCGCTCATTTGATACATAATTAATATAAACGACTTTTGCGCGACGTTCATCTAAGGCTTAATCAACATTGCCGCACTGTCGCAGCACTCGCCACCCACCTTGACGCACATTAGATACTCCCGACACCCACCTTGACGCACACCAGATACTCCCGACACCCACCTTGACGCACACCAGATACTCCCGTCACCCACCTTGACGCACACCAGATACTCCCGACACCCACCTTGACGCACACCAGATACTACCGACACCCACCTTGACGCACGCCAGATTCTCCCGTCACCCGCCTTGACGCACACCAGATACTCCCGACACCCACCTTGACGCACACCAGATACTACCGACACCCACCTTGACGCACACCCGGCAGTTCGTGCTGGGGGAGCGGGTGGGTCTGGACGCGGGTTTCTCCTGCCGTCGGTTGGGGGAGAGGGGAGACATCCCGCTGACCGTGGGGGCTGTCGGGGTTGCGATTGGGGGAGCTTTGCTGTCAATTGAAAAACAATTATTTGTTATAAATAACATAATTTTTTTGAGTTTTCAAAGCCCATTCTTCTTCATTACATAAGCTTGAAGCTTTATTGTGAATTCAAGTTCATGCGATGGATTGGACTCGATTACCTTCACTAATTTGGACCTCTTAATAAACATATATCCGCTTGATTTAAAAAAAATGTACAACGAAACCTAATTTATTCACAATAAATATTTGTTTGAAAATTAGCCGTTTTCCATGGTAAATGCAAGTGAGTAGCTCGTTCCATTATCTTTAATAAGCAATTTAAAGTCAAGTCGAAGTAATTTGTAACTCACATCCTGCAGTCGCCAGGCTCGAACTTCTCTCCCTTGTCCCAGACTTTCTGCAGGAGCGAGCGATCTTCCTGTGACATGCCCATGCCGGCCAGCGGCGCGGGGTCAGGGTGGGCACTGGCAGGGGCCGTGCTGCTGCCTAGGCCTCCTCGAGTGGGTGACAACTTTGTAACTGGAGGCATAGAGTAGGTGACAACTATGTGACTGGAGGCACAGAATAGATGATAACTTCGTAACTGGAGGCATAGAATAGATGATAATTTTGTAACTGGAGGCATAGAATAGATGAAAACTTCGTCTCTGGAGGCATAGAATTGATGATAACTTTTTAATTGGAGGCACAACATTCCGAGAATCGATATTAACAGAAGATGATGAGAAGGTAATGAAGCTGTAAGATTACTAACTGAAGATATATCAAATGGAATCTCATAATTATTGTTCTCGCTATACAGGAGCTCGGATTTGCAACTGAACATCTAATTGCGGCTGAACTGTTAAACTTTTAAATGCAACGGAATTACCAATGCTAATGAATTCTATTATAAAGTGGTGAAGTACTTCAAACTGCAGCTAAACTTCAAAGTTCGGAAAGCGATTAAAATGCAGATGAAGTTCAATATTTATACAAATTTAAATTATTCCAATCTGTTTCTTCAAACGAGAATACAACTTGGCATAAATGAATTATTCAACGGTGTCACTCAAACTAGTGTTATTGAAGAGCGCTGTGAAGAAACTTTATTATCAAATTTGTTGAATAAATAGATCTGTTCATTCATCTTCTGTCACGTTACAAAGTTTCTTATAAGGCAGTAGGGAATTTGGAGCAATGCAGTCCAATAATTTTTGTTTGTGGGACGCCTCGCGGTCGACCATAGCTTGGAAACTTAGTCTTGGAAAAGATTATGAGGCTACTTAAAAATGAGATATACACTGCATACAATTCTGTTAACAAACAAAAGGATTAACAAATAGTAATTATCTGTGTAAAGGAACAGGAAATAAAGAGACGAACGAATGGATTAACTATAATAGTAGATCGACAAACAGTTAACAAGGCAGCAGCAAAAAATAGACATAGAATCACACCACTAGTAAAAATGAGATGAAACAATAGCGAATGAAGGT